TACACACATGTAGAGATTCCTGTACTGACCTTAAGTACAGAGTATTTGCCTGAACCGAGCAATGTGTTATCACATGTAGGATGATACGCACTTCTGAGATATTGTTTTAAATATCCCTTGAGATCATCTGTGCTATGTGCAATTTTAAGTTGTTGTTATAATTTATATAGAAATTAACTAAAAACAAATAATCAATTTGTGTTTAGGGTAACATTCAGAAACATGAAATGTGAATACAAATCCTCCTGCTATGGAACTGCTCATGGCAACAGTCACTTTGGTTGAAGTTCTGCAGCTGATGTAGTCTTCAGGGACTTCACAAATATGTAACATTTCCAAGTTAATCCACCATGCTTTCAACCCAGAATTATCAGAAAAATAATAGATATTGAGTGTGCTGCTATTAATGAATGTTTATTGTCATATCACAGTCAGGTTTCCAAAGGTATTCTCCATTCTACTAAAAGGGTACATGCAGAAGAGACAGCCCTTACTATGAACTTACAATGAAAATCAACATAAAACAAGTATAACAACCAAACTGTCAAGAAAAAGTGTATAATAAGAGCAATAGAATGGCGTGATTGAAACTTAAATATGTATAATTAGGTATCCCAAGGTTTCAAAATATGTAACCACCAATTTGTTTGAAAGAATAGAAAGAACGGATGATTTCAGCCCCAGAAATCACATTTTAACTGTGCATATTTTTGCATTTGATAACATACCTGTAAGTGGTCATCTGGTAACTATTGTTCCCTAACCATGATCTTAAGAGTGAGAAGATGCATCAAAGAGAATTAAGGCTTTGACAACAATCAGTGAAAATCAGAAAAGTTCCAGGTAAGGATGAAGCCTTTCATTTATTTCAAGCACCTAGACACAACGGGGACATTGAAAGAAAGTAGTTAAGGGGATTAGGTCTAGAGTATGGAAGCACGATACAGTATGGGACTTGTCATCCTTTGTTTTTCTGTGCCTGATTCCATATTATTTCTGTGAGTACATGTTATTTAAATAAGTTTGTGTTTGGTCTGGGAGGAGTTTTGTAGGACTTCATTAGGCAGCTCATAAATGTACTATGTCCAGACTGGATGGCCACCAAACTGTGAATGTGCATTCACAGATCTGTTAACTAACTCTGGTCATGGGTCCAAATTACATTCCTATCTCAATGTATGCATCTCAGCGAGCAGCACTGGGAAGAATTAAAAGCTGAGATTTAAGTCACAGCTTGCTGTGTACAAGTAAGAAGGGTTTTTGTTTTTATAATTGTTAAGTGAATGAAAAAAATAAGACTTGCTTTCAAACTCAACACTGAATTTGTGACTATAAATATTTTTATTTGTAAGCTAGCAAGCTAGATTTGAAGTTAATCGAGAAGAAAACAAGTGATCCTCTGCCACTTTAAAGAAATATGACAGTACAAAAGATATTTCTGAAAATAAACAAAAACTCATTCATCTATTTCAATTTCAGAATAGAATTCTAATAAACTTCAGGACTATGTTTTGAATACAATTCACTAAATGTTAAAACACATGTGAACCACCAACCCTTCAAATAGACAAGTACTAAATCTTGACTTTTTCTGAGAAGATAAAGGATTTGTGAATGCATAAACACACAGTAATAATTAAACAGGCTTAACTTTGAACTGTTTGAAATGTGATTTTTTTTTGAATATGGAAAACAGTAATAGCCATGACCATAGACCACTGAAGTTTTAGCTTCACTATAGTGATGACGTGCAGGGCATTTTTTCTTACACACTGTACATGTTGTTTACCTCATATGCCCTCAGATGATGATTACAAATATCAAGGTGCCATAAACCTGATTTTGTTGTTATGGCTGAAATGGTTAGTTTAAAACCTGTGGACCGCGGTGCTTCGGTAAAGTCAGTCAGCAGCTTGGAATTAATTTGTGTAGCATGAATGAGAAATATATCTGAAAAGTTCGGTATGACTGGTCATTGTCACCATATGATTAAGGAAAGATGATCCCTGTAATGACACCACCTGTAAACTTCACTGAAATTGCTGACAGGCAGTTTGGAAAAGACGGTCTACTCAGACTGACAAATCTATTATTAGCATTTGTGCATTCTGCACTATTTTCCACAGAAAAACACTCCTACTTTTTCTAACAGGAAATCCACCCATTTCACTGTCAAAAGAACACCCTACTGTGATAAAGATTATTAAAAATACAGCAACCCACAGATGGCAAAACACTTCAGGGACAGCTGCAAGGGCTATTTCAAGACATGTGAAAAGAAACCATACTAAATAAAGGCATTCAAATATTCAGCAGGAAAACATTAACTACTGCTAAATGATGCACACCAGAACCATTTACCACTTAGCAGCAAAAGCCAGGACAGCTGAGATCTTGAGGAAGCAATGAAGAGGCAATACCCTGGCAGATTGGCTCCATGCTGGCCCCACAACAAACAAAAGAGTAAAGGCCACCTACTCCTTGACATCTCCTCTAAGCAGTTCTGCACTCAGGAATCCCACAGAGAGCTATACTCAGAAAGAAGAGGCACTAAGTGATTGAGAGTCCTCAGATATAAGAGCACTTGTGGCCCAATTCTTGCTGTTACTGTTAAAGTAAATTGGATTATTAATGTGGAAGCAACGTATATTATGTAATACTCCACTTTGGTGGCCCAAATGTTATATAAATGAGTTAGTTTAGGCTATTAAAATGATTCTGAGCCATTAAAATGATTCTGTATCATTAAAATGACACTACGTCTGTCAGTAGTGACTAGTGAAATGATTGAATCAACTTAGGAAGTCTAGCCACAATTTTCTTTGTCAATAATATGAATGACCTGCCTCCACATCATCTCAAGACTATTCCAGTGCAATAATGACAAATGTGTGGCTTCAAAAGACAGCAATGTCCAGAAATGGAAGAACAATCTGAAGAGAGGTTTTTGGAAGCTGTAAGTGTGTGCCACTCTGGGATGAGTTTGGCTCCATCTTCTCTAGGACCCTCTCTGCGTAGAGGAGGACTGCAACTAGGTCTCCTCTGCAGGCTGAACCTTTCCATCCCCTTGGGGATTCCATGTGCACTGCGTGCCCTAGTCCCTGACTGTCTCTTCAGCTTGCTGGTCTCTCCCTTGTTCTGGGCACCGCAAACCAGACACAAGGCTCTCCACAGAGCCTTTTGAGGGCTGACATGAGGGGACTAATGATCTCCTTCAAGCTTTCAAAAGCTCTTGCTAATGTAGCTGCATGTGCAGTTACCTCCCTCACTGCCAGGATCAGCAATAGAGTCATGGTCAAGCGTGCTGTTCCCCAAAAACTTCCCCCACCCCCAGGTCCTTTTCAGCACACCTTAACCAAGGCATCCCCAGCAGGGCCAAGGGCATTAGGCAGCAGCCAACAGTATCAGCTTGTCAAGGCAGCTCGGGGTATTAATAGTGGAAATGGCTACACATGGGGCTGAAAGGGTCAATTTAAGGCATGGCCATGCATGAGTAGCAGCAGACCAGTGTTAATCCCCTGCCACTCAGAGACCATTGTGCTCTCACAGTACTCAACCCTTTCCCAGTGCAAAGGTGCCTGACAGCAGAGGACACAAGACAAAACCTAAGAACACAAGACATCTGCCAATGTGTGCCTCACAGTAAGCCTCTCAGCTTTTTAGATCAAAACGGGACTTAGGCAGGATGCCAGTTTTTGCAAGCATGGAGATTTTTCACTAGCATGTCACCAAACACCAACACTCTCCATGGCCAGTGGCACTGCCCAAATGAGGGTAAGCAAAATAACTCACATGCTCCTCCTGTCAAAACATAAGCAGTCAAGTAGAAACAAAGATCTCCCCACCCCCACCCCACCACCCAAGCCCATTTTCTCCCACTCCAAAAATTCAAATTGTTCATTCATCTGCCTGACCACTAGCTGCTATTTGGATACATATTCAGCTTTGGTATGCCTAATAAAACAACTAGAAGACTCAGAAATAACCTTTTACATTGTCAAATTGTGATTACCGATGCCAGACAGATCCTGAATGGCTGCTTATGCTTATTACTGTTTCAGCAAGACAATTTTTTTGACTCATTACTGTTGATCTTTACATTACTAGAAGGCTAAATTATGCATAGTGCTTATGTAAGCATTCTGACTTAGATATTTATTCATCTTCTTTCATTATGCTTGTATTGGAAAATGATATTCTATTTTTTACATAAAGGAAAATTCCAGTCTGTAAAGTCTGTAAACCCCAGTCTGTAAGCCATTACTTTTGAAGTCTTGCAACCAATTGTCAAAGTCCTATTACAAGTTTTCGTTACTGAATATGAAGAACTTATGATCTTAGCATACAATAGGTAATTCTCTTCCACAGAGCTGAAATGGGAGTTTTATTCTTAGTCTTCCAAGTATTATTTTTTAACTGTTTGTAGAATTCTGTCTGTACTGAATTGAACAGCTTTAAATGACTTAAAATCTTCATTTATTAAATTGCAGATGGAAAGACAATTTCTAATGCTTCTGTTATTTTACTGTAGATTCCAGCAAAAGAAAATAATGTAGGAACTTTTGGAAATTCTGAAATGCCTCTAAAATCAGAGTTGTGTGCTCTCAAAGTTGGGTTGAAACCTGTTTAGGGTTAGCATGAAAGAGTTACTGGGGAGGTAATTAATAAAACTGGACTGAAGTCCATGAACTGGCATGTAAATATATACTATTGATTTATTGGATATACATATATTGATCAAGTAAATATGCATTGTAAACTTTTATGTGAACAAGGACTGCAGGAATGGGTTTTGATCGTATATCAGAAAGTATTTTTCTTTCTTTTTTAAGATAAATACTATTTTAAAGAAAGTACTTTACCAACTTCTTTCAAAAAAAATAGAACTATTTAAAAGGTGGTCATATCTTGGCTTTTTGGATGGCTTTTATTGTTGCTCTATCCCAGAACAGTATACTTCATCCACTAAAAAAAAAAAAAAAAAAAAAAAAGACACGAAATGATTTTGTGTTTATATTTATTGTCAGCAATACATCAGTTATGTAAAAATAACCCAGATGAAAATGTAAGACTTGTTACATTTTCATGTCATCTGTATTAACTGAATAAAGCTTAGTGACAATATACACAAATCTGCAGTTGTACGTAAACATTTTGTGCTTTAAAAAAGAAATGTATATAATTTAAAAAATAAAAATGCATTACACAATTTACAAATCAACAATAACAAAAAAAAAAAAAAAGTAAACATTCCTCAGACAGCTGCCTCCTTGTTCTACAAAATAAATATTCAAGTAAATTAAGTTAGGCAAAATAAACTCTTAACTTTGGGTGACCACAATTTACATAAAGGTAAAAAGACAGATTTCCATTTAATTCAAGGTATATTTTACAGTGATTTATACACAGAGTTTTTAAATTGGTCTCTTCCGATTGTAATACTGGAAAACAAACTTAATTACATTTTGGCAGGAGGAAGGGAGCTTCAAAATGGATACTTTATACTAAATATAAACAAGCTTGTGCAGTTGCACCAAAGCTTCAAAAAGGAACTGCTCCAGGACTCAAAGCAGACACAGCAATCTAGAAACTACAGATTTAAAAAGGAAAATACAAACCACCACATCAACAGGAAAATGTCTACTTTGCTATTTTCTGAATGATTTATTTGATCACTGGAAACGTTACTTTCACAAACTAACAATCTACGGTAGTGGCTGCTTTAGGCACTGGATTTGTAGAAACACTCTGATTTTTAAAGCAAATTGCTTTTCATTCTGTACTGATAACTCACCTATTTATTTCTGTGTCAGTGCTAAGGGGCTTAGTCACCTTTGCAACTTCTAGCTTTACATACAATTTCAGCCCTCTTTATAGCCTTTTTTTTTTTTTCTTGATAAAGAGGGAAGCCATTCTGGCTTCAAGTTTCTGTGCACTTTGTTCATAAATAATAGAGATAAAAAATGCACTATATATTTTAAATGCAGCACTAGTATGATGCAGATGTGCATCAGCAAAATTCGCTGATCAGATATAAAATGTGATGCATCCTAAAATACTTGCATGGATTGCAAAGGCCAAACATATTTAAATAAACTCCTATCCCTTTCTTTATTTTTAAGTACTATTTAGGGAGAAACAGGTATGCCTTTAGCTTCATTTTACTAACTTAGATTTTGGGCATAGAAATCTTCAAGGTAAAAACTAGGCAACAGCTTCTGCTAAAACCAGCCTGTATAATGCATAAAGTTGTCTCATTGCCAATGAAAGAAACCCTGTTCCCTCAATTCACTATTAGTTCAATACCATTTGACAACACAAAATCAGACTTTTAAAGTACAGAAATCATGATTAAGCTTTTTGTTTCCACATTTTAACCATTCTTTAAAACTTTACAACTTTTTTGTATGTCTGATAAAATAGGAATCAAACAGTTTTTTCTTGTTTCCTACTCAAGAATGCTGAAATAATTAAATACATGAAGATTTGTTTTTCTTTTTTTCTTTCCTATGGATCTTTACAGAGAAATGTAAGACTGAAGCCCCCAGTTCTGCAACACATATGTGAATGAACCACTGCTGAGGTAGGGGGCCATGGCACTTCACCAGCTGTGGTTCAAGGTGTAAAATGAGAAAATAAACATGTACAAAAGATTTTTACTATCATTCCTCTCTGCTTATTATTTCCATTCAGAGAAGTACTTATGCAGTGGCAATAAGATCATTTTCTTTTTACAGTAACACCACACTGGTAATGTAAGTTAGCTAAGTTAAAGTAGGGCCATACTTTTTCTTGGACATTGCACAAAATTAACATTGGTTCTATATGGAATAAAAGTAGGTAATTTTAAAGATTGATGTTATCTATTGACATAAATGAGAGTTGTCATTGATTTCAGTGAATACTGGCCAAAGTTTGCAAAGCTACAGTTTTATTCAGTGTGCAAAGACTGGTGCTTCTTGAGTACATAGTGCGATGAGTAGGCAGAAATGGTTTAGGTTATAAAAAAGACCTGAGAACCTAATACTGAGCTTTACATAACAATTATTTTTGACAGGTTGCCTGATAAAATTTTGTAATCGTATTGCTTAATAGTGGCACAGTCACTTATATGTTTACGTCAGGCTACACACAGAAGCCATTTTATGAGAATAACCCTTCTCAGGTCATGAATCACATCTGTAACAGGCATGTAGATACAGTGGCAAGTCAATAAGCTTCCTGTCAGAAGCGTAACACTGAAATGCCATAAGCATGGGAGAGGTTAACAGTGAGCTTTTATACTGCCGGAGTTTTAAAAAAAGTTATGACTATTAAAATGGCAAAACTACTATCTTACTGTTTACTTGTCAGTACACTCAAGAGTTTAACTGAATAATTAAAAGAGTCTATCCAATTATCCTAATTAGAAAAGACAAAAAAAAAAAAAGGGCTCTGAGTATTGCACTGTCAGCAACAGTGAAAATGCTGTCATTAGTGAAAGAAAAAAAAGCATAACCTTTTTCTTTTAGTTGAACAAACAATCAGAATACCTTTTTAGACAGTAAGTATGTCACTCAAGATTAGAGGGCAACTGCTTTTCTTTTTCTTTCTTTTTCTAACAAAGTTAACAAATATAAAAAATCTAGTCATAAACAGCCTTCAAAGTACAATTAGAAACCAGCAGGACACTCTATACTTGTATAGGTAGATGGGGCAAGAAACTAGACACTTGTATTACTGCCATGACATAGACTACAAATGGCCGCTGTGACGAGACATGGTGTATGCAGTACACGTCTTTAGCCGATTCCATCCAGTCGCAGTCCAAACTGAACGCTACTCTCTTCAGGATTCAAGACCAGTCTACTTGACACTCCTTGCACAAGATACATCATCATCCTTTCTGAAAAGAGGCGGTTTCTATGGCAATACTAGTTAAGTGCATATCATGCTGCACTAATATAGTGCAAAAAATTGCCTTACATGTAGCAAAAAAGATGCAGGCAACAGTTTGAGTTAGAGAAAGTAGAAACGTATTGTAACATTTACAATGGGTATTCTTTTTTTCCAGACAGCAACTGCTAGAAAATCTGAGAACGCCTCCTTTCTGGATGTATACATGAGGCCTTTATACTTTGGAGTGATAACGGGACAGAATTTTGCAAGTGAGTCTTTGCCCTCTGAAATGCAGGTTAACACAAGTTATCATCAACTGCCAGACTGTTGAACTTGCTCGTGGGTTAGTCTCAGTTAAAAGTTAATTTTATATTAAGCACTAAAATGCTCTTTAACAAGTATATAATCTGGTAGAGTAATACATATGGTTCAACTGAGTATATATGTTATGCTTGAATATAAAGAGTCATAGACAGCTTGGTACAAAGTCTTCATGCGTACTGATTATACTTGGTTAATGTTGCAGGGGCTTTCAACTGTTAATACAATGTCAGCTACAGTATTCTGGAGACAGAAGCGGTGCTTATAGCTTGTAAGATTGAGGAAAGACCACAAAAATCTCCAACTGCAGTGTCTATTAACATGATTCTGCCAGATTTCTCAGTGCTGATGGTCTAAAGTAAAGCAATAATACCTTGAATATCCATAGACATTATGAAATCCACCTGTCTTTCTCCGTGGCGCAGTTACCAAAAAGAAAGAAAAAAAAAAAAAAAGAATTCAAAACACTTAATCCACTCCATAGAAAATCCCTGTGGCTTTGGATACCTTCTGATTCCAATCCAATAATTAAGACTCCATTTGTCACCATGAGAAGTTATATTCTACATATCTGCATCTCCATCATAAGCCAAGGTTAATGGTTTCAGTCGGTTGTTCTGCCTTCTCTGAGGCTTCTTTGGCTTTTTGCTGAAACAATAAGATAATTTGTAAATAGAACAAGAAACTGATGACATAGAAATGATGGATTTCATTCTTAAATGAAAGATGACCGTGTCATTTTAAGATAATGCATTTGGTTGTTCAGTTGTAAAAGCTACATACCTAAAACCTTCACTTGGATCAGCAATTATCTCTTTATCAACTCAAAGCAACACCTAATTCAAAGCTCAGTTGTCCAGAAACAGGTTGTTAGGGTGCTGACATGACTTTGATGAAATCCTTGGCACATAATTGTGCAAGATCAGACAGTTTTCAGAAAAGCCCAGAGCAATATTTGGTCATGTATCAAAGCAGCAATCAGGTTCTTATAAATTAAGTGATTCAAATCTTAAGTTCTCTTGTCATATCAAGGGTTTCCTCCTTAAAGTTCCATCTTGTAATTAGTTTTATGTCATTATACTCTCTAGAGTAACTAAAGGTAATTCTAGATTTTAAAAATCTCAATTCTCAAATAGAAGGGATATGGTTTTGAGCCATAATCCTTCCCTGTCTAGCTTTGAATTTGATTTTAATCCAGCAATATTTCCAATACATTTACCATAGTTTTAAAAAGTCACCAAGCCAAAGAAAAATGTGTAATATATGCATTTTATCTTTAGTTAGATTATATGAGCTTTAGTTCTTGCCTTATTTTAGACAATACTACAAGCATTTCTTTAAATCGGGCCTCTGCATCCTCATTGTTTTCCAAAAAGTTTATCTCAGCTATATCAGACTGCTCAAATCAAAACCATTGTTTCCAAAATATGGGATTGCAGTGGCCTCATTCTGACAAATCTGCAGTGGAGCTGTAGGCTAATGGATTTTCTTTCCCTCAGAAAATACAATATTGTCTTCCTTACTTACAGATAAGTGAGATTTGGGGGAACATTTACTAAAAAAAAAAATAACAAATCCAGAAGTCCCCCAAATGCTGCCTATGCAGTACAGCCAAGAGCCCGGTGTCTAAGACCATACTTCTCTCACCTTCTACCTTTACAGTCATTTGAATCAGAAATTCCAAACAGGATCAAAAAACTTCAGGGTGAGCATTCTCAAAAATTACTTGCTTTTGCAAAAAAAAAAAAAAAAAAAAAAAAAAAAAATTCACTTGCTCAGCCAATAAGATTTTCAACAGAATATGATTTCATCTATGAAAAACACATGAGAAAACTTCCAGCCTTATTGTGGTTGTATATCTCTATATCCTGTCAAATATCAAATCAGACTTGCCTGGTTATTAAATTTCCTTCTTGATATTTTTCTCTGCACTTTCTGATACAGCTACAATGAAATTATCATGGACACAGTACAGTCATTCTTAACAGAGATAAACTAAGCAAAAATAAGCTATACACTAAGATATGACATATTTGCAAGAAGTTCTCCTGACCTCAAGACAGTCTGTCAGTTTATCCATCATCTGGGCTACAATCAGAGCCCATGAACCTCAGCTTGGACAAAAGAACATGGGAATTTAAACATCGCAGTTCACAGAAGACCCTGCAGTTGCTACAACTGCATATATAAATGCTTGCATTACAGTCTGTGTGGGACTGCTTGCTTGTAAATAATTAAAGAACTCACCAGGCTAGATAGATCATAGAAACAATAAAGATGAGTAAAACAAATGCACCAGCAGCTACACCATAAACCCAGGTCTTCAGCCTCCCATCTAAAAGGAATGAATGTTAGTCAGTAGTGTTTGAGTTAGTCTTGTTGAATTATTAGTTCTGATATGGTATAGAAATACTTTTATAATCCAAAATAAATGTCTTCACAAGCAATTATAGCTTAATACTATTAAATTATAATCCAAAATAAATGTCTTCACAAGCAATTATATCTTAATACTATTAAACAACTGAGCAATAGCTTCTCTGTGTACTTCTGCTCTGCTTTTCAGCTGAAGTCTGGAAAATCCAAACGGAGCTGAGATGTGGGGCAGAGGCAGTGTGGCAGCAAGTGAGAGACCCGAGGAACCCAGTCCCTGGGCCCAGTGGTAACAGGCAATTCCTTCAGCAGGATGGCAATGCAGCATGTCAGCCTAGAGATCATTTATGCTTTTAACAACACTTTCCATTCTACCTCTGGAAATAGTTTGTCTGCTACTTTCATTCTTGTAGCTATTTAATTTTACATTTTAAAATATGTTTAATGCTTGTTTTACCTCATCAAAATCTTAGCTGCACATACACAATTTTCACTAAAGCAGAAAGTAATAATTTTTCAATTTCTTCCTATACCAAATGCAAGTTTTGTTGTTATACAACTTCCCCTCACAGAACAAGCCAAACATTACCAAAAAGGACAACCCATGCTCAGAAATAGAGCAACAGTCTGTTTCTAACAAGGACCGTACTTATGTGCTGCCTGTGCAGTTTGTATTTTGGACATGATGTCTCTGCAGGCTGAGGTATACATCCCACTCTCCTGTTTGCCTTGATCCTAGATGCTTATCCTTGGAAATCTAAGGGAAGAATCGTGTGACTTTGTCTCTTTTCTTTTTTTTTTTTTTTTTTTTTTCCCTTTCTGAACCCCAAATGAGCAACCCAAGGTTAGAGCATGCTGTTTGACTCCCTACTTTTATATGACTAATTTTACACGCTGCTAAACTGCTTTTTGAAAATATGCTTTTACATGGGACTTGCTAGCCTTGTTGCATTGCCTTGAAAATTCCATTAAAAGCTGAAGTATTTCATTTGCAAGGGGCAAAATCATTATTTCATGAAGCCATGTGTATATTTGCAATATCACAGTAAGCAAACACAGCTACTCTTTTTCTGACCAAATACTTATTGCTTCCTGATACCTCTGTAGAACCAAAAAAGACATAACCAATGCAGCTGATGTTTCTGCAATTTAATAAGAACAAAAGTCATGCAGACTGGCTTTGTTCAGATTCACAGTATTCATCGGTATTCATTCAGTATTCACCTCTATTGCTGTGCAGTTAATTTCAGGCTTTCTCTTCTCTAACAGTCATGAACAACTTGGTTAAGATTAATATAAAACATTTTAGCTTCATTATACTCATCAAATTAATAACATTATAACTCATATAATGGAAATAACTGATCCATTAAAGATGGATTAAACAATAGATTTGACCTGATATATCCAATGATATGATAGTAGGAATAAGAGGAATTTAGACTTCAGTACTTCTAAATAGGTAATTTTCTTCCCTCCTTGGTTTATTTCCATTGGTAAATGTAATGGGTTTGGGGTTGTTCTGGGTTTGTTTGTTTTAACATGTATTCTGTTTGTATGCTTGTATTATCTCCTTGAAAGGAGACTGACATTATCTTGTGTATAGATTTATTTAATTTTGTCAAAACAGGGAACTCTGTTAATGAGATCATTCATATTATGCAAGCACATGCATCGAACCCAGGCACTCTCAATTCCCCTGGGATGTATTATTTCTAAGTGTATGAGGGAATGGGTGTCTCAAACTCATCTGCTTTGGGTAATATATCAGCACAGACCAAGGACAGTCTAAATACCTTCCTTTCTGGAACTGAAATGTAATATGTTAAAGAGTGCGAAAGACTTTAAAACTATTTAAGACTATTCTAAACCTAGACTTAGTAACTGCAAGAAGAGGAATAATCACAGTAGAGTAAACCAAAACCTTTTCATAATTACCTAATCCTGGAATGGAAACAATCAAGTGTAAAACTTGTCTGAAGTGCCAAACGTTTACTGTCTTACACATTTGCTCATACCTTCACTGGAGGTATTTGTTCTATTTAGTACTGTTGTTTATATATGAGCTGAGCTATGTCTCATCTCCTTCCTAACTCAAACCAGGAATTACTGGAAAATTGGTGAGGTTTCATGAAATCTGTCACCATTTCTTGTTCCAAAAAACATGTGTTAGGTGACATGAGCATCCTTGTTCTACGCAGTTAAAGGCAACTATCTGACATTTGGTTATTGTCAGCACTCCTACTGCTACAGTCCACCCTATGGCATTTTTAAGTGGAGTTAGCTAGAGTGAATAAAAAAATAGCGTATTTGGTAAGATGTTACTTTTTTACAGGAGGACCAGAAAAGTTCAGTTTTCTTTTTTATTGTGGATTAAAGTACTAACTAGTTGGAGTAAAGACCATTTTATCGCAGGTATCAAATATAGTATCACAGTACAAAAAGCAGTCAATATTACTAGGACTAATGGGACCTAACTGAAGTACTTCTAACCCAAACATGATTTAATCTCCCTATTGGAAGTATTGCTGCAGTTCTCTACTTGCAGCATTTTAGGGATTATGCATGTAAAGATGCTGTTTTCAATCTTCAGAATTCAAACATTCACAAAAGTTTCAGTATGAAATAAATACTAAGACACAAGTGTGGAAGGATATTTAGCTCTATGTAATTTATATTTTATGAAAGTTTTATTTATATCAGTGTTAGTATCAGAAAATATTTACTGAAATTTGATTACATGATGGACTTTATCAAGTATTTTTTAATGGGATAACTGTCAATATATTTCTTACCACTCAAGTGCTTGCTCAGCTCTGAAGAACACAGTCAACCATATGAGCAAATGTTGCCTATAGTGATTTAGAGCGTGTCTATGCTAAATATCAAGATTATGGCCAGCTTTTGTCTGACATGAATTGGTTTAGATATGGATATGGAAGAAAAGCATTACCATACCTATACTGATTGTTTCCCTGCAATTCATGGCACGACAGCAAACTTCAAGCAGCCCTTATCCTCTACAGATTTCAGCACCTCCTCACTCCTTTTTCAACAGCATTATTATGATAGCATAACCTAGTATCCTGTCTTGCACTTTTGAAATCAACAACTTTCTAATTTCAAATAGACTCTGTGAATTTTAAGTAGCAGGGATTAAAATAAATGTTCTGTAATACAAGATGTCATTAAATATATTGAAGGGGTAGCAGAGAAGGGTAGAGATTTACTTATGGCTCTTCCTCTGTTTTCAGTCAAGGCAGATGCCCGTCTTCTTAAATGAACATTTAAGGATTTTTGTTTCCTTCCTTGGCACCACAAAAATGTAAATGCCAGGCCCTGCAGCAGTAGTTAGCATTATGAACTGCTCATTGCATGACTTCACCTGGCCCAAAAGGCTGTAGAAACCAGGTCCTTCCTCGTCCTGACTGGTTACTGGAGGGCTGGGTAGGGTTCACAGCTCGACTGGTTTTCACATCTCCCTTTTTGTCCTCCATGGTGGGGATCACCACCACCGGGATGAGAGTGCACTGTTCGAGTGTGCCATCAGAGGACATTACTTCAGTGTATCCATCTTCACAACTGCACGTTCTAGTCTGTAGGGAACAAGTGTTTTACACTGTGTAGCAGAAAAACACAGTTTCCTGTGAGCTATAAGGCATAACAACATGGATGACTGGAAGAGAAGACTGTTTTGATGACTGTTAGCCTGGAGAGTACCTCTTCATATATTTTTATGCAGCATGGCACCAAATCAACAGAGATTATTCAGCATTTAATTGAAAGGTGGAAATTGGTCTGAGGTTGATTTTAACAAATAACGATTAGCAGAATCTCTGAAAATACTTTTTATTGGTGCAATCTTTAAAATGCAGGGTGTGGGAAGCCCTCATGGGGGTGTTTAATGCTCCAATGCAGTAGCACATACCTCACTGCAGTAAGCGTGGGGTTGACTGCACGGTGGATTACATGACCTGTCAGCATCTGGTTGGCGCATCACTAAACAGCCCCCTGTAGGACAGAAAATCATATTTTGACATGGTAACACCTCTCCACTGATGAAATTACTGATGTCATTATTTGCTACAGTATGTCATGGATTACCATTTTATTACTAATTTGAATTTAAGAGTCCTACTCTTAATCCTAGGTGAAATATTTTATTGGTAGAGTAAGGATACAGCATATTTATTTCCACTCATGTGCATTTTAGAGAACTAATATTTGGCAACTGAACTTTTTTTTTTCCCCTTTGTTCATTTGCTGTTGCTCAGAAAAGTTTAAATGTTTTGTGCTCGGGGAAACATTTTTGTTTCCTAGGTCCCTCCTTAAAACTATCATATTAAAACTGTGCCAAAATGAAAGGGCATCTTTTATTTTTATATTTGCCTATCAAACTGAAAACAAAATACTCATCCAGTTTATGAATGGATACCTGTTTTCTGATGCTCCTCATTACTCACTTTTACACATGCTTTGCCTCTTATGAAGCCATGCTAGTCTAAGAGAGCTTTTTCAGAAAGAAAGAACACACGCTGAATGCTATGGTACTGATATAGCTGTTTGCAGACTTTCTTCCTTTTTGTAGTATTCTAATTCTCATAGCTACATCTTTATGTACAGTGCAGTTATTGTTATGGACCAATGCACACAATCAGGCTTTCATTATCATTTCAGCCAGAATGACTTAAAAATATATTTAGAATCAGTTTGAATGTACCTGGGTTTCCTTCTATCTTTCAGAAGAGGAATACGTATTACGTACTTTAACGTTTATACTACAATGGGACAATTTATTCTGCATCTCCCAAATTAATTGCCTTTTTATACTGGTGTGATTTGATAATGAAATCCTGATAGCTGAGATAGGTCACAACCATAGCAGATGCAGTTAGATGTGGTTACATAGACCCAAGTGTTAACAGGATGGCTGATGAAGAACAAAGTAAACTGCTGGCTGACATAAGTTTTTCCCACACCCAGAAAGGAAAATGGTACATCCTAGCATACAAATCACATGCCTGTGAGCATCTATGTAATAAAATATCAGTCATCCAAGCAAGCTGAAGAAGGAAAGAGTTGCTTCATCGCCCATGGGAAACAACACCTTCAAGTAAAAAAGAACTATTCAGCACAGTAATATTATACAATAAATAAATAAAGGCATTAAAATACCAGCAAAATAATAATGTCTAAAATACACTATCTTAAAGCCAGATGCACAACAATAAGGCAGTAAAGAACAGTCATCTAAGTAATGTGTTGATTCTAGATCAAAATAAGTAACTTCTATCTAAATCAATCATGTATGTGTACCTGTTAATTTGATCTCTTAAATATTGCAGTTTATACAAAGCATTTTCAAAAACAAACAAAAAAAACCACAAACGTGTATTTACAACCTGCTTAACAATTATATACTTAATTCAGAAAAGTTCTCACAGAACATCATACCTAAGTGGTTTGTTTGAAAACAATCAAGAATATAACAGAAATATATTTTGCATTGTATGGAAACAGATGATCACAGTTTCTGGAATTTTCCACTTGTCTTCATTTCAAATCAGAAAGGTACCATAGCTTTAAAAACATACAGAAAAAAAAAAAAAAAGTAAAGAGGAACACAATATAGAACCTAGATTTGTCTGCCTAGGAAGTCCTGTGAGGATTTAGTATGGTTCTCAGATCCTTTTTTCCATCTATGTAGTTATGGCAGTTATTTGTTCCTATTGTTAACACAAAAAGCTATGAAGTATGTTTCAAAGTAGAGGATCTTCCCATCTTTTTCCCTCTTCCCATCTGTTTCTCTCTGAACACTTTTTCTGAAAACGGATGATCAAGATATTCATAGTATTCTGCTAAGGTCCCACCAACTGCAGAAAGCAAGAATATGAACTAGTACTTTTTCTTAATAATGTTTAGCTTATTTTATTACTCATTCTTATAGTATTTCCACCTTTTTCATATAATATTATAGTCCTCCTCTGGGGTGAACATATTCTCAAATATTTTATAACTATGCCTTGGGCCATTTAATTAAATTAATAAGGTAAGACTTTGGACTGAGCAGGTTAATTTACCCCCGCAACGAGCCATTCTCTTCTCAGTTTTAATCTGTTACAATCTGTCTTTCTGATAGTTTGTTATATGTTCTGTAATTTCATCTCTTTAAAACTGACCACTATAAGTGCACAGGATAGCTCATCAAATATTTCTCTGATATTCTAAATAAACTAAAGCTACTACTTTACCTTAGTAAATAGGCTATTTCCATATCCTTGTTAGTCTGATATAGTATTCCTTTGGTAACTAAGAGTAATGTATTATTATTATTGTTGTTATTATTATTATTATTATTATATTTCCTATTTTTCATATATGGCTGTGTTTTATAAATGCCAGGTTATCATTTTTATTAAAAGAATTTTGAAGAATAAAAAAATGTTTAAATCAGAAAATAATGATGAGGCTATATTAAATATTAAATTAAATACTGCTAAACTCATGGAACTTATAATACAGAAGAATGTGTTCCACTTACCCAATTATTTATGCTTATAAAGGAGAGAATCATGAAAAATCTGTCAGTAACACAAATTCATACACTTCTCTTTCCTGGAATTTATCACGTGGCTGTATTCAGTCACATGAGAACTATTATTTATATGTGACTGACTGTGATTTATAGATATATTCTGCTTTTTAACATTTCAGAGCCATAATCTTCAAGATGCTATTTATTCTGAAGTTCTATAGGACATTTAATACATAATATCACATATTACTCTCAAAAAAAAATTCTGACTTAAAGTTTAACTTACCATATAAGCATCATAGTTAAGCAGGAAGCAATTAAGGTACATAAATAATGCCTTGTTTATTCAGTGCGATGCATTTAGTATTTTTGCAGCACAAGGTGACACTTGCAAAAGAGACTTTTGGCTATCAACTCCTATTTCAACACCTTGTAAAAATAATACAAATGCTTTATTTCTAGTGACAAAACAGATTTTTGCAGTGAATTCCATCATTAAGAAGTATGGTATTGGCAGTCCATCCATTAGAGCTCAGCCTCTTTGACTGACCTGACAATAGCTGGAATTGAGGATGTACTTACAATCAATCACCTTGGTTGATATCAAAGCTATTTAAACAACAAATGCGTAACTCTCATTAAATAAAACCCTAATTCTGAAAAATAAATATGTATGAAGATTTTATTGAATTCAGAGACCTCAGTCATTCTTTATTTATCGTGTTTTGTACTTTGGCTTGTATAAAAAGTAACTACATCTAAGAGCTATCTATGGAACTATCCTGCTAAACATTTATGTCATTAATATAAAGTAATAAATTTATATCAGCATATTTATTAAAATCTGTTATTTTGTAATTATAAGGAGGTATATGATATATGACTGATATTATCAAGCTTTCTTTCTCTCTCTGCATTTGTATATGCATTGTGTAAAAGTTCTGTTTGTTGTAGGTCTTGAAATGTGAAACCCTAAATTTAGATGCATGTAAATGACTTGTAAAAATATACAATATAAAATATTTCAGGTCCAATATAGAAAACAACATTTGTATTTACTTTTACCATTACATGCTGTATAATTCTGGAAGATAACTGACATCTTTAGTATGCAAAAATATAACGATTCAACAACAGTACATTGATTCATATATCAAGAATGAGTGTTTTTAGCAGATTCTTCTTCCATTCATTGGAAACAAAAGTGTTATCCACTTGTTTTCCAGGGTTTTGTGTATATATAAAATGAAGTTACCTGTGACGTTTAATCCATCTGATCTTTGGCACCACACAGTTCGAGAAGATCCCTTCCATGGGCTAGCCATCCATTTGTATTCATAGCACTGGCCATCTACAAAGAGAACATCTACTTTTCAAGAAAGTTGGTGATAATGTTTTAGGCTACCACTGGCCACACTCATCAGTAGACCAAATGTGTTAAATTTAATGCTTTTTACAGGGACCTTCCCTCACCCAGAAACTTAGAAAGGTACACTGTACACATGGAGGTCTGCACATACTGGATACATAACCTGATAGACCAGACATCTTCTGGACACTAACTATAATGTTCATTACACTGTATGTGGAGTAAACCCAATTCAGTTAATGGGTAAAACAGACATTTCCAGACATTGTAATGGTTGTGTCCCATCTGTTGTGCAAGAGCCATTTAAGAGTCAGATTTCTTTCCTGGTAAGCTGAGCTTCGGTCACTGCTCCAGTGAATAGTAAAGTAGGCTGGGCTGTATCTGGCTTCACATCTCTGCTCTGCTGTACACCTCTCTGGGATAAAACAAGAAGTCTTAAATCTTTATGTACCTGAGCTCACTTATAAAATTCCTTTTTGCTCTATATATCTAGCATCTCAATGGACAGGAAATGATTTTTCTTAGATACTTTTTCCAGAACCAGCAGTATGGTGGATACTTTCTAAAGTCATTGTCATGTGATTAACAAAAATTCAAAGGGTAAACAGAATTCTAAATTTGGTTATGCATCAAAACTCAAAAGACCTTTTTTTTATTAGGAAGTTATCAAGAAGATAAGGCAATTATTATTTTTTTTCCCCCCAAACCATACAAAGATATTTCATTATTAAAAAAGGATCAAAAATAACAGTGGTTAAAGTGGAAACGTGATAGTTAACATAAGTTTTTCTGTTTGGAAAACAAAAAAATTGAGTGCATTTCTCTGTTCCCATAATTTCCCATGTTTTCCTAATTTTGATAACCTCAGCAGAAAGAAAACAAACTTGCTGTAGCTCTGTATTTTTTTTTTCTTACAGGAAGGGTGATGGTCTTATGTGTATTTTGGTGCTTACCATTGCATGGTCTTGTTTCCAAAGCCTGTTCTGGACAGAGATGCTGATTCTCTAACTCCTGAATGATGACTGCTCGAGATCGGACTTGTATCCCTCCAAAGCCGAGATCCTCACCATTAACACAGGTTAGCTGACAAAGGCTCCATTCTGACCACTCTCTCAAATAACAGTCCCCTGTCAAGCAGTAATTTTATAAGGTGAAAAGTAACCAATATGTGAAGAGGTTTTGGCAATGAGTATGTCTTAGGAAAAAAAAAAAAATAAAAAAAAATGACCAAATCCTCAAAACCTTTTATTAATTTTCCCACTTTAGTTGCTTTCATTCCTATTTTTAAAAATGACTTATACAAAAAGGAAAAGGGAAAGCAATTAAAGTGTCTATTCTGCCTATTCCATGCTATGGAGAGATGCAGGATGTTATAGCATAAAACTGAAAAATAAAATTCTACTGGTGAAATAAATTAGTGAGTTTGGCTAAAGAACATTAAAGAAGATCTTAGGAAGAACATAAAAAGACCATTTTGTTAAAACTGCAGTATAAAATGGAACTAGACTGTACACAGACTCATAAATAAACCTCTTAGTTCTCATTATTTCAGTGAAAGAGCTATTAAAAATTCATGCTACCTTGCATTACACTGATGACAGATACAATCAGTACTGTGTTGACCAGATGCCTGATTAATGAAGGTATTTTATTTGCTAACATTAGGAAAGCATGTGAAGAAATGAATAATTGAAGAACTGATGTATGCATAATAGGAAAGCAAGTAGTGATTTTTGGAAACATTAGTTGGAACATATCATTAGCACATCCCCACAGGGCAGTTATCTGTACTGGCTAAATGTGAGATTGTTGAAGAACAGGTTACTGCTCAGCAAAATTTAAAATCAAGCAGTAAGCAACAATTTTTTTGTATATGTATTTGACTAACAACAAAGCATAACAGCATTTTATTTTTCCAATTTTTATTTAAAAGGTAGAAATATATGAAAATCATGCAGTTGGAATGCTGTGTATAGTCTAGATGAAAGATTCTATGTAGTGTATGAAGCTTCTCCATTTTTAAGTACTTTGTATTTGAAAATGAATCTGAAATTAATTGGAAAATTGTTCTGAGAAAGAAGAGAGTTGCAAAAGGACAAGAATGTAGTACTGGAACAGAATGTTAGCTACATTAAAACTGAAGGAGTTAATCACTGCTTCTGAAGACACATCACTAATCACTGCTGAACAAGAGAAATATACTTAAAATTCTACAAGTAAGCATTTGAAATGAACTGGAAGAGCTTTACTAGAAATTAAATAGTGCTATAGGCTCTTAAACCTTCTCAGTAGCAGGGTCAGTAGGAGGGGATTCAGTTGACATGCAGTAACAGTGAATGTCAGGTCTGCAGAGTTTAAGTACTAGAGACACTCAGATTTTCTCAGAGATCAAAATATTACTTTCGTTTGGAAAAGCCCCTTTAAACAAAAAAAAATAAAAATAAGACTCCGTAGCTTAATTTCCATAGACACCCATGAAACACATTGTGTTCTTAGCAACCATTAAAAGTGTTAATAAAGCTGTTATATGGTCTTATAAGCTTAAAGCAAATACGTAGCTGTATATCAGCATTATTTCTTCAAGAGTTTTATTTCAAAATACTATTGTGAAAAAAAATACATTCATATTAGTTACAAACTGTGGCTGAGATGCATTTTATATTATTTAAAAACTGGTATTTAAAAATATATATATATATATTGTCTTTAAGCTGTAATTCTATTGGTCATTTGATGGATTAGTCAAATCAGTAAAGCACATGAAAAGGATTTTATTTCCTGTTGCTCACTGAGGCACCAATAACAGTAAGGATACCAGCCAATCTTGAAACACAACATTTATTTGAATAGCTTTCTTACCTGGACAAGGAACAGTGCAGGTTTCCTCAAGCACCATCTTCTTATTCCCATCTATAATAGGCTCTATTTCTCCACAGAATTCCTCATCTACTACTTTGCCCAGATCTTCAGTGGATCCGTCAAAAACCACACAGGAAATGTTCCTCATTCGTGTCCCCTCTCCACACTGAGCATCCTGTGGAAGGAAATACATGGATGCTGGACAGAGAAAAGTGCCAAAAGACTAAAACTGGTCTGTGTGTCATTATCTCCTATTATTTTTTTGCCTAACTATACTACTCAAACATTCATTTGAGTAGGAAAAAGGCATTGTTCTTTACTTTTGAAACTAAAAAAATATTCTGCTGCTACCACTGTTATTTAAAGTACTGAGCTAGCTTATGCTTTTAAATTGAAACCACAATAGTATCTCAAGTGGAGATTTCTTCTAGTATGAGGCTTTTTCACTAAGGATGCTTATCTATTTCCACAGATATACTTTTATACTATAAGGATTTTGATTACTAGTAAAAATGTTGTGCAGCTACCAAAGTTTACCTTCATACTTTGAATATCTGTAGGGCATTGTTTTATCTGTTGACAAATGTGAACTCTAAGAATAAACCTTCACCTTTTGTATAAGAGATATGGAGGCAAATTGGTTACACTGCTTTGAAGCAGATATCCAAGCCTGTCACAAATGAGCCTGGTTATACAAGCTCTGTAACTTCAAAGTCCCCTATGGCTTTTACCTCTACTTTGCATGCAGACCATTGACCATATTGCCATCGATAACAAGGTTTTACTAGACAAGGTTTGAATTGCTCCATCTGAGAAGGACAAGGCCTCCCATCACCCTGAAATGGTTGATTTATGGTTCTTCTTCTGATCATTTTTCCTGTAAATGAGAAACAACAATATAAATAACAACAAAGTGATTAGATTGATTTGTTCTTCAAGATGGTTCTGTGTTGGTGAAAAGCATTGTGTTTGTATAATTTTTTTTTTCATATTTGAAAACTCAGACTGTAAAGCAAATGTGTTGGCTCTTGCTTGTTACGTGGATTATATTTTCTGAGATAGACACCTTTTATTCAGTACTGCATGAAGAAGGATGTCTGATCAGGATTTCAGATTGTTCCTGTAACAGCAAACAAAAGTAGGAATTTCCTAATTCAGAAGCCTTGGGAAAAATACTTCTGAAGGTAAAGGTTTGTGGCTCTTCTGTGGATATTCTTACTGTTTATCTGGAGTTTGCTCCTGTTTTTCCCTGAGTTAATACATACTGTGTTAAAACACAATACTAATTGTATGTTTTTTAACTGTGGGATCCCAGCACCAAGGAGCAGTTAGCAATTTTCCCTGTCCGTCCATGAAGATTTTGCAGCGGTTTGAGGACTCTTCACTCAGCCCCAAAGAAAAAAAATATAATAGGCTACATCAGCAGGATTAAGTAAACTTTGTCCCCTGCTGCTCCAAAGAAGCATTTCCTCATGCCTGCCTGTCTCTGTAAGCACTTTCTCCTCTCCACTGCTGGTGCTTTCCTTGCCAGAGTTTCTGTTTCCTTTCCTGCCTTTCATAGCTCTTCCTGCAGTCTGGATGTCTTTCTCCCTGGGGATGCTCAGTTGCTCCCCAGAAAAATAATTGCTATGACAGTCCCACTCAGTAACATCACTTCCTTTTCTAAGGAATATAGCATAGATAAGAGAACAAAATATAACAGTACTGCCATTTTCTTATCTATATTTATACTTCAGGCTCTTCCTTGAAGATCGATTTACTCTGAGCTTAGTAGCTGAAATGGCATTCCATACACTGCTAACCGTCCAATAAGGACACTGACATATTCCAGATAGGTTGTGGAATAAAGAGGTTTCATAGCAGAGCTTCCTCCTTCCTATTTCAGCAGTATGTATATCTTAGTTGCCTAGCACAACAGTACTTCTAAGTCTTCTGATACATATAAGTACAAATAAATAACAAGACTCCTCCATAACTAGAATTGCATACATACTGAAAAACTTGCATATTAATCAGCAACATTTGGGAAAAATCAAATTAATGTGATCACTGTGAAAGCAACTCTCTCCCCTGCTTCTTGTTTTGTGTTTAAAAATATGATATTTTTTGTGGATCTTGAAGTTATTGTTTCTAATCACTATGTACTTCTACATGTTTTGTTGTTCTAAAATCACCACTGGTTAAATTCAAGAGGAAATCATACACCCTGTCCTCCCACTCCCTGAGAAATAAAAATATTTACCTCAATGTTTCTTTTGGTCTCAATATATCATTCACCATATCTCACTTTGTTCCTGGAGTCAGAAACTACTTCAGGCCAAATTCTCATTCTCCTGAGTATGATCTCATCAAAACAATATTTCCATGAATAAGGTTGATTTAGATCCCCGTCATTTACCCTAACTACCTACATTTTCTAGTTCTGCATAAAGAGATATTACTTCTTTTACTTAAAACAAATAAAATAAAAGAAAATGAAAAAAAAAAAAGAAAAAAAAGAAAGCTGTTTTTAAAATATTCTGTAAATATATACAGACCTGTAAGGCCACATGTCTGAGAGCACTCAGACCAAGATGACCAGTCAGAGAGCTGGCAGTTTACAGGACATTCCACCACACAAGATGTATTCATTTGCCATGTCTTCTCCAAACCAAGCTAAAAGAAAACATTCAATGGTCAGCATGTAACATCCAGTCTGTGTCAACAGTGCAGTGTATGCACTGGACAGGGTGAATCTGAAACAAATAAGCTTTAAGGAAATATGAAGTCATTACTAAATAAAAAGTAAAGCAATTAGGACATTTAGAATCTAATTTCATAGAATCATAAAATCATCTAGGTGGGAAAAGATCTTTAAGATCATTAAGTCCAGCCACCAACCTGACTGAACAAGTCCCATCATTAACTCATGTCCCTTAGTGCCATGTCCACACATCTCTTTAATACCTCCAGGGATGGGGACTCCACCACTTCCCTGGGCAGACTGTTCCAAAGCTTGATCACCTCTCCAGGAAGAAGTTCTTTCCAATATCCATTCTAAACTTCCTCTGGTGCACCTTACACCATTTTCTCGTGTCCTATCACTTGTCACCTGAGAAAAGAGACTGACACTCTCCTCACTGCAACCTCCTTTCAGATCATTGCAAAGAGTGTTGAGATCTCCCCTCAGCCTCCTCTTCTCCAGACAGAACAACCTTAATTTTCTTAGTTGCTCTTTATAAGCCTTGTTTTCTGGTCCCTTCAACAGCTTCATTGTTCTTCTCTGCACATGCTCAAGCAAGTCAATGTCTTTCATGTAGCAAGGGGCCCAAAACTGAACACAATATTTGAGATGTGATCTAACGAGTGCCATGTATGAAGGGACAAACACTTCCCTAGTCACGCTGACCACACTACTTCTGATGCAGGGCAGTAGGAGAGTGTGATGATGTCTGAATGTCAATGATCACAGTTAGTAAGCTTCTCTCTGACCTGTCTTAAATTGCATTTGCCATGTTGGAGTCCCCACATTCTCTGACAATAGAATAGATAGAGGACAAAACAATTTGTGAAGTATCATTAAAGTATTTTGAATTAGGAATATAAAAATACTGAAGTATAAGCTATTAACAGCTAAATTTAGTTCAAGGCTGCCCCTAGTGCTAGAGAATGCTATTCTGAAATTAGCGTTATTTAGCAAGTGATGACAGAAGTCAGGTTCAAAACTAACAAAAGGAGGACGTTGAGTATACATTTGATAGTCTGTTTGTCAAAGATGTTGCATATGCAACAAGTTTCTAAGAGCTCAAGAAAGACTGAAAAAGTTAATGGTAGAGCAATCTGAAGGTTTAAACAAAGAGAAAACACATTTGGCGAGGACAGTCCAATAGCTGAAAACAGGTGCTTGAGCAAACATAATCTTGTTTATAAAATAATGCAGTCCCCACAGGAAAGACATAGTTCTGTTTGTGCTTAGATACAGCACAGTGGGCTACATGGGCCTTTGATCTGACCTTGTAAAGCCACTTATAAACTCCTGTGCTGCAGATTTTCTCCATCCAAGGCGGAAGAGAGATTTCAGCTAACACACATGAGAATATATAATGCAAAATGGAATAGAACTGATGGCATAAATATTAGCATGACAATAACAATCTCTGTAGCCTGAACAGCTTCAGAATGAGTTAAAAGAATATGTTGATTATTAGGTGTATGATATAAAATGTGAAAAAAAATCAGTTCTGCCAATATGAAGAGATATGCAGCTTCCCAGCATAAAAGACTGTCCTCTTCACTGGCTCTCACCAGTGAACCTTGATCACCATTGAGACCTTTCATAATCCCAGATAGCTGTGTATATCTCTAAGGAGATGACTTTAGAGAAGAGGGAAAAAAAAAAAAAAAAAAGGCAAACTAGACTCTTCACAACTTATTAATTTTAATGACTGCAAAGGTTAATGGCATAAAACCAGCAGTTAAGACTTTAAAAAGGAAGTAAAACCAGAATTTCCTACGACATGCAAGCACAGAGCAATAATTAGGCACAACATTAACATATTCTCCACAAATAAACTACCACAAGTACTGTAAATGCCTCACCATGATAGACTCACCAAGTCTTAAATTTGCATTTGTATTACATTATATTGAGACAAATTAGATTTTAGACTTCTGTTCTGTTTTATACATCAAAGAACGAGTCCTTGGCTTCTCTCTGTAGCACAGTATAACCTTGATTATCTAGCTGTCGCATAAAGTCAATACCTTAAACCTTTGGATAATCTGTAATTTGGATAATTAGGAAACCAGAGAATAGTCTTTGAAGTTGTCTTGACATTTGGGTCAAATCTTCTGAGCAAAGGCTCAAAGCCTGCTGAATTCATTCCTGGCAATTAGAGAAACATGACTTCTCTCTTTTAGGACTGGCCTTCTCAGCTGGACTTTAGCAACTACAGAAGGAGAAGCCCAACAGAGGTGAAGAGGAGAAAGTCAAAGGCCAGATTACCCCTAGGGATCTGCCATTTGCACATCTTAGACGTTGATATGCTGCTGAAGTGGATGTGGGGAACAATCTGCAGGCTCTAATTTGATATTAATCACATATTCTTTTCTCATCCCTCTCCGTCCTTCATTTGAAGGATCAGAGTTCACCTTGCAGACCTTACAAAATCCATCTGAGAAAACATTTGGAAAATTGATCAGTAGTTCCCTTATCTGGAAGGGCTGCTGGATGAGTTCTGTATGAGTTGTGGTTTCTGATTAGAGAATGGCAAACACTGGAGTTACACTGAATGCCAGTGCTGAGCATCCTGTACTCCTGGTTATACACACCAGGGGCAGCCAGTTGTCAGACCAGCATGTTCCATAAACCCTGTGATCCACAGAAACCATCTATATTTGTTTCTAGGACTGTTTGGCACTGCAGATTAGCCTGTGATGGAGGTTAATCTATGTAATCTGACAGGCAGACTATTTGTCAATAAAACAAAAAGTTTTTCATTTGCTTACTAATACAAATAAAACTGCTGCTTTCCAGGCTTTTGTGATCTTTAATTTCATGTAAATGAACAAAAATAAGCCTATACACATGACCAGGGCCAGCTTGCTTTAGGTGATTTTATTTTCAAGTATTCAAGGTAAAATGAGTTCTTGTCATGTGCTAATTTTGTGGAGCTAGAGACCAAGTAATGCAGTATCACTCTGTCTTGAGAGTTTGAAGAGAAGTATGTTAACATAACTAGGACTTGGAAATAAGCTCTAGAAATTGATTTATCCTGGCACTAATCAGGATGACTGGCTAGCTTCTTAGCTGATTGACTGAAACAAACATGAGATCACATGAAATGTATTAGGAAAGCAATAACCGCAACACAGGAGTTTAGAAGAAATTTTAGTCCTGGAGATGGTCGTACTTGAAGAGGGTGATAGTCAAAAGACAGTGTGAAGGGTGTTTTTTAATATATGGCTTTTATTAGTTTCTTGAACCATAAATTATAAAGCAAGTCAGACATTGCAGTCAGGGACCTTCATTTTTAAAGGGATCAGAATAGTTTTAGCTACTGTGATCTCCCTTCTTTGAATATATTGACAAGAATCTTAATTCTATAAATGTATCTACACATAAATTTAACAAAATATCTGCTTTATTCAGACAGCTAATATAAGTTTCTATGATAGCCCAGGGAAATTTCATGAGTTAAATCATTACAAAATTATCTCACCTTTCTCTTATCATAAGTCTCTTTAACCACACATACCTTACTTTGAGCTTAATATTTCTGTACTATCCTTATAATGCAAAAAAAAACTAACAAACAAAACAACAACAACAACAAAAACAAACAAAACACACCTGAAGGACCGCCTGTGATTAGATTACTGAGAAGTGCATGGTGTATGTACACGCATTTTGATTTCTTCAGCACTCTCTTCTCATGGCCTGGAAGGTCGCACAGTTCACTTTCACATCTTTAGAATGAAGGGGCTGGTAAGATCTGAACAGCTTGGCTTTCTTGTTAATCAGGTTAACAGGTTTTACTCCTCACAGTTATTGGTTCAGCCTTTGACCTTGCTGTACTACTGCTTACAAATCCATTATTCAATAAATAGCTTTAACAGTCTGACTTGGGTGCGGATAAGAGCTTTCTGCAGGAAGATGTATCTCTATATGATCTAGCAAATCAACAGAGCAAATAAAATTGTATCACAGTGATGTCTGTTTGCCAGTCATTTATGGCAAGTTGTTTTTGAGATCCCTGTTATCTCTGTTGCCCTAATTAGTTCTCTGGGAATTAACTTTCATTTCTTCTGGAGCTGGAAAGCTCCAGAGGTTTTCTGCAATGAGATTTCAATGTATAAAAAAAAACATTTGTTCTAAATGTTGCTTAAATTAATTATTTGGTTAACAATAGGAATAATTTAATGTCTTTATGGAATAAGAAATATATTTCCCCTAAATATCTAATAAAGGTCATTTTTTTTTTCTGCTGAAATATTAATGTAGATGGATATTTTATATCATGTTTTCGTATGAAATAATCAATATTGCTGTCTCCTACAAATAAACCAAGAGCCAAAATTTTTATTTTAATGTATTAAAACATTAAAATAATACATTAATGCATTCTGCCTATTAACTTCAGAGAAACTTGCTGGCAGGTGGGCAGATCCTGATTTTTTTTCCTGAGACATAAATTATCAAATTACTAGATTTGATTTTAATCCCAAGATGTATGTGATAAGGAGAAACTTGGCACAAAAGCTGGGTGCCAAGCCTCAGCTGAAAACTTCTGCCTTTTCTAAGAACCTATGAATTTAAGAATCCAGGATTAAGGAGGGAGTTAGAGAGGCCTAAATAGATCTAATACATTGTTATAAAACCATAGTCCAAGGCACATGACTCCCTCTGCTTCTGACAAGACTCCTTTCTCTACAGGCATGTCCTGAAGAGCAGCTACTAGCCAGGAAGGTCCAACAAAAGAGGTGTCTGCACCAAAGTTGCTGTGGAGGGCACTCCACCTTAGTCCCCCTTGCTAGTGATTTTGTTTCTGATGTGGTGAGGGAATGGTTGCCAATGCGAGTTCAGTTAATTTTTACACAGATAAGACTTGTGTTGTTTTCCCCCTTTCCTTCATATTACTATCTCCATGTGACTAAAAACATTAGGATTGATGCACAAAATACCATAAAAACAGTCTTGTAAAATATGAAGATAATTTGAACATTTGCAAAATCGGTCTTTCAAAATGTAAGGGTTCCTATCTGCTGATTACCTCTCCTTTTTTTCTTCCATTTCATTAATATTTCATTCATGCTGCACATTTTTTCACACTAGCTTGGGTACCTTTTGCACTGCACAGCTGGATACGAGAAGTTAACATTCAACCCAGCTGCCGAATGGCATGTGAGAAATATTTTCCAACACATTGAGTAAATGATTGATACTGGCAGCTGTCCAAAGCTCCATGCAGAAATTGTATCAAATTAGAATGATGATTAGTGTTCTGATTAAGATTTATTACCTTTATTCTACTTTATTAATTATTGTTTCTAAGTCATTTCCTTCAGGACATAATAATTAGCATACCTTCATGGAGGCACTTAAAAGGAAATTGTATAAAAATCACTGTTGATGGCACTGTTCATTTCAGAGGTACTTAACAATCCATGAATAGCTTTGTGAAACATCTGGCGATGATGGGTTACATGCTGTATAGCTTAGATGGCTCAGCATTAATTAGTACCACTAGAAAGGAGCTTACTCACAGGTACCCACTCACCTCTTCACAGTACTTCAGGTCAACTGATTTGCCATCACTGCGAACGCAGTCGAGCATTCGTGTCTTGATACCATTACCACAGACAGCCTTCTCACTGAGCTGACATGTGCTCCAGTCTGCAAATGAGGAATTCATTAGGGCAGTAGAAACTTTAGATAAGACTCATAATGATCCACTTTCCCATTTAATTCTAATTCCGATGTTCTAAAACAGTCCTCATGGACTTTTACACATGTAAATGCACTGGAAGCCAGCTGCTACACATTTTTGGAAGTAGCCACTTTTACTACAAATGGAATGTACAATGATGTCATCCTGAAAAGTTCATATTTGGTTTGATCTGCATGAATTTTGCGAAAATCACAAAACAATAATAGAAATTAATTTCCTGCAGTTACAGCATGGACACTATACCCAAGTTGAAAAGTCTCCAGTAATATTTTGTCTAAATCAAATAAAGTGTATCAGTTCTTAGCACAAGCCCCATGGCTCACTCTGGATAAGACTGGAAAGCTGAAAAATACGTCCTGTAAGGTGAATGGAACTCAGTCATAGTCCTAAACTGTCACTACATATGAGACCCAAATACCTGTCACATTGTAGTCATAGTGGTAGCAGTTTTTGTTCAAAGTGCAGACTTCTGTCTCAGTGGCAGGAGGGCAAGACTTTCCTTCATCTGGTTGTCTCAGCAATTCAGCTGACCTTTCACGAACATTGCTTCCATTGCATGGCTTGAAAGAGAAATTGGAAAGAGCGTTGATATTTCAGAACCCTGATGCCTTTTCAGGGTTCAGATGCAATACTGTAACAACCTTTCAAGTATCTTCACAAAATGAAAATGTAAAATAGTGGGCTCATGTTGTTGCCTATAAGAAAGTATTTCCTTGTTATTTCAGAGGGAATTTAGTCTGCTGTTTCACCTTAGTACCACCCAAGGTGAAATATACTCTAACTGGATAACACCTTGGTATTTTCCTAACTAGTTCATATTTCACTAACAATGCTCTGACATTATCTCATTCATAAATTCCAGATGCTCACTTTCACTACAGTGCACCAGAGTCTGAATACTCAGAGGTCCTGAAACCTTTTATTTATTTATTTATTTATTTATTTATTTTTATTATTATTTTTTTTTTACTTGGAGATTCCTCACAGAAAGGGAAGGGGAGACACAGGATTATCTTTTTTGTGGTTAGTGTTAATCTACAGACATTGCTCTTTGTGGGATAGTGACGTTTTTAGTACATTGACTATACTCTCCTGCTACAGACGGTATCACAGCTAGACACAAGCTATAGTTCAAGCTATTCCACCACGCAGAACCTACCCTACACTGAAGAATGCCCATTTGTGACATTTTTATTTAGTAAGAGGTACTTTCTGGGAATAGCTTCACTGAATGAAAGATACTGGCACAGTTCATTTGCAACCAAGTATCAATGATCCTAAAGACGACAGTAAATATAAATATTTACACATGTACTCACTGCTCAATTCAGCATCTTTGCACATTAATTCTTATATTTTTAAAGCATCTTTCTAAAACCATAAATGTTACGCAGAATGGTACACTTACCAAAAAACATCGAGACCATGATCCCCATTCAGACATGACACAATCTTCAGGACAAGGTAAGATACATTTTCTAGCACCAAGTGGCATCTCTTCAGGATCACACAGATAGTCCTCCACAGTGTCAGAAGGACCATCCACAGTGTTTAGCATGCACCTGGAAAAAAGAACTGCACATAAACTGCATTTGCCATGGATTTTGTACAATTACTATAAACCACAGGATTCTGAAGCTTTTTAACAGTTTGTCAGCATGTAATAATCAAGTAATTGAAGTAACAGAATTAGGTATTAATCTATGAATATTCAAGCAAAGCTGAAGAGACAAAAATAATCCTTGTTTTTACAGATGACTGCCATATGACAAAATGCACAGAATTTACACATTTCTTGTCAATTATTTTCTGAGAGTTTCTGGGTAAGTGATTTACTTGACGTTAACCTATTTACTAAGTCAGAATAATGTGAATCATGGATAGTTTAAAAATATTTTGAGAATGCTTCAACGAATAATTTCATATCTAAAAATATTAAAAATGTTATTGTATATTCTTAGTGTTAATCACTAATTTACAGCATGAGCATAAATTTCCTTCATGGAGTTCGTACTCTGATCCATTATGTGCTGATAAATGAAAATTTAGAGGTTTTTAGTCCCAGAGGGATGAAATCTTTATATTTCTTCATTTTTTATGACAATTTTGAAGTCTATTTTTCAGCAGAAATACTGATTAATTTTGATTTTTCATATTGGAGTGTTTTGAATATAGGAATCTATTTAGATGCTATTGCGTGAGAAGAGTTGTGCAGTCTAATGTTGGTCAAGCAAATATTAAGACTAGGACCCTCTGGAAGTTAATCTTTAAACAAGAAATGGTGTTATCTTGAACAAAATCTAGTGAATGTGCCAGTTCCTATGTACTTGTGGGAGGAAAAAAGAGAACTTTTAGCAGTTCACTACATGTACTTTCAATTTGGGACCTTCAACATGGAATTCATCTTATGCTTTATTATTCAAATATATAACCTCAAGTTGTGTGTCGTGTTGCAGTTAGCTATAAAACAAAACAAACAAAACAATAACAACAAAAAAAAAAACAACCAAACAAACAAAAAAAACCAACACACTCAAAACCACAAATTCTACTGCTTTACCTGCTGTGTACCATACCATGTGAGACTAATCTTACTTAGACTTTGATTAGAGGTCTAGGATGATGAGCAAGCATACAAGATGCTTAGATCAGGTTCAACAGTTCAGTAAACAATGGAAAATTTATGGACTCTTATTTTATTTTATTCATTTTTGCCACTCCTTCCTGCAATAAGCATAATTATTATTCCTGAATGTATATGTACTTAGAAAGTGTTTTTTTTTTCCCCTAAATCATGGTTTCATATAGAAAGAGGGCCATTCTGAATTTAGAAAAGCACTAAAATTGTACATTTTATCATATAGATCATAGAAGTATCATATACTTTAGTTTATAAACTAGAAATTAAAGTCTGTATTCAAAATCAGTAGACCAAGTTCTACTGCACTCACTGAAGGTTGCTGATTTATATGAGCCAAATGGACAAACTTAATGCTATAATCAGAATTACATCAAATTAAATACAGCCATGACTGAAAGTGAAGGTTCTTGAAATTGAAGGAGGAATGATATTGTTTTACCTGACTTTCCTTGTTTGAACACCTTCTCCACAGTTCTCTTTCAAGTCCACATTGGTCACCTTGCAGACACTCCAGGGCTCAGTAACCCATATGTACTGGCTGCAGTCACTGTGGCATGGCACTACCTCATATACCTGGAATATAAGCTGAGTGTCAGTTTTGTTGCATGCAAGCAAGATAAATATGCAATAGTGATCATGCTGAGATAGAAGAAGAAAAAAATTAATGTTCTTTTTTAATAAGAATAACAAATGTAATTTGGTATCTACAAAAGTTGCTAATATGGGGGCTGTAATAATAATACAGATAAAGTATTTGATACAAAGCCACAGGAACAAAAAAAAAAAGTCAAAAGTTAAAAAATCATCCAATGACAGATTCCCTGATTTGCCTGATTTTCTCTAAACTCATGCTGTATCATTTGTACCAGAAACATCAATATGATTTACATATAAACTCTGTTTTGTTTATTTATTTATGGTAAACTTTCCCTCTCTCTCTCTCTCTTTTTTTTTTTTAAAGGAGAGTTGAGCTTAAGGTAAATGATATCAATATATATCAGCTCATTTCTACTCACCTCAAGTCATTCTAATATATTTTGTGTTCTAGCATCAGCATTATGCATATATTTGAATACAGACTTGAAATAGTATCTTGTTAATTTATATATGTTTTTCATACATTTTCTTAACGAGACATTACAAAAAAAAAAAAAAAAAAGCAGATAATGTAAATAGTGGAGCACAATCAGGAAGCACATGTTAAGATACTGTCTATTTTAGAATCTCTTACCTGAGCCTGAAGAAAGTATCATCATGAACCCAAAAGAAAAATGAAAGATAAAAAAGAAAGAATGATTAGAGTGAAACATAGGTATTTAAATAGTATTCATTTAGTTTTTGTTACAGACAATATTCTATGACTTCAACTAAGACATTCTCTTGAATAAGTCTTTAATTTCTTTCCAGGACATTGTTTTGATGGAAAAAGGGCACTGATGGTTTGATAGTTTTTTAGTAAACCTGAAGTCACAAAAAAAAAAAAAGCCTGGAACAACAAATGTGCAGAAAATCTGATATATCACTACGTCTATGCCCAACAAAACCAGAATAGTCAGAACATTTGGGCTGTCTATGTAGCCATTAACTCAGATGTGAAGATCAGTGGTGTAAATGCATATTAAGCAAACTACCAGACTCAGTGCACAACTTGTAGTACCATGAGAAGTAGCACTGTATTTATTCTTTTAAAGAATTTCCAAAATGAAAACATGGAAGCCTTAGTTTAGGGAAATGTCTGTATACATCTCACATTGATAAGTGAAATATGTAAGAAATGAGAATTCTTCTTATAATAATAAGAAGAAATACTTAAAACCTGCATATTCATCAGCTCTCCCAGTAACATAAACATTGGATTTCTTGCCAGAAAGCCAAAGCAGATCTGTATATTGCATTACATATATTTAGTCATGTTACTTGGACCCTACCTGCATTCTGTAACTATGACTGCAGGCCATGACAGTTGGTTAGCACAAGGATTGCATCTGCTGGATAATGGAGCAAATAATGCCTGAAGCCAGGGATTCACTTATCCTTGTTATTTCCTCTAACAACCTCAGATTAGCCTCTTCAATTGCAATCCTATGAAAGTCATCAATAGAATCCTATAAGAATCCTGACTATAGTATTATTGTAATTATGATGACTTTTAGCCTAGTGAAGCAGGTAGAAATCAAGCTGCATTCAGCTGGAGAGTGGTTTGGGAGCCACCCTAGCATGTGTGGCCCAGGAGTGGACTGGAGAACACAGGCTACATGAGATATCTAGCGTTCACTGTGTTCAGCCCCCACCAAAATACAGATGTCAGCCCTGACATCAGGTTGAGTAACCTGCTCTTAAAATTTGACAGACATCTTAAGCACTTTATTCCCATGTTCCACTAGCCTTACCTTTAAAAATTTTCCCAAGGCTTAACCCAAATCTGTTTGCAGCAGTCAAAGCCTACTGCTTTTTATCCTATCCATGATGGCCATGGAAAATGGATTATTTCCTCTTCCTTTGCAACAGCCTTTTATGTACATGCTTGCAGACTGCCTGCATATTCTCTCCAGTCTTCTCTTCTGTGGGCCAGACTACATGTTGCAGTCTTTCCTCAGAGGCTGAATTCTTAGATCTCTGCCTACGAGTGTAGCCCCTCTGTACATCATCTCCCAGGTTTTTGAGCCAGCATAGACATAGTCTAACCATTATGTTTTGTATGTGTGCAAGTAAACATGTTATATATATACACATATATATAAAACTATATTATATTTAATAATTGAAATAAATATTCTGTAGCATCACTAATTTTCCAAATGAATGAATAGTGGATCAGATTTGGATTAATTAATTAACTGACAGTTCCCTGGTCATTAGGATGCAGGCATATTCTCCTCCGCACATTTCTGAGATGTCCCGACTTAATAATTGACGGTGAATGTATTTAAAATTGAAAGATATAGCCTCTAAACTTTTTGACATTACTACATTATCTGCAGGACTCCCTTCTCATGAAGTACTGTATTTCAATTTCATTTTACAATAATTACATTTTGAATCATCTGTTATTGTTAAGCACCAAGTAACATTGCAACAACAGATTCGAGTTAAAGTACCAGTAGAGGGCAATGGTGTTGCATATGAGAGGCAAAATCACCTTCGATGCAGAAAAGATACTAGGCTATTATGTACTATACGAATATTAAAGGGAAAAGACTATTGCATAGACAATGATTTGTTCCTATTGAAATATATTCCTACTATTTAAAAACATTTTTACACGCTAACCAAAATCCAGCAACCTTTCTCCTAGTTTCTTTTCTGTTAAAGTCGATCACAAACTTAGTTTATTAGTTGTAGTTTAACACTTATTATTTTCTAAATTAGAAATAATTACATTCCCTAAAGTAAAAAATTAGATCAACGAGCCATTTCAGTCTATGCCAGCAAAAAGTCAATAGGATAATATTAAGTACATGCATTTTATTCAAATGTCAATTGACAGCACACTTTTTTCCGATCTTTGAATATTTACAAAGAAGATCATGTGGTTGTTCAATATGTCTTGGTAAAGTGAATTAAATTCAATGGTAATATTAATATAAATCAACTTTGAACAGTGTAAGTTAATTGAAAAGGTAGTGTTTTTCTTTCTAAAGCTCTTCAAGCAAACAGGAGCAAAAACAAGCTTCAGAGGTTTAACTTGGATTAATGCTAACTTGGTCCCACAGACTAAATTTTCATTACTGCTCAAAGCACTCCCGGTGTGCTCTGGGATCACGTCTCCTGGCTTAGTTTCATTTGAAGAGTTTTGCGCAGCCTGACTCTGCTGTACTGGAAAATCAAGCGTGGTTAGTGGGACAACTGGGATGTTGAGTGCGGAAGCACATTCCTCACTGGCACTGCAAGTACGAGTGCTAGTGTAGCTGGAAGGTCAAAGTCCAGGTTGATTAAAACACCCTAAACGATACTGAGACAACACTCAGAGTGTTTGAGAAGTTTTTATTATTTTTCTGATCTAAGATGGTAGAAGAACATCACTAAGAATCTTAGCAGTTTTTGCATCTGTAATCAGACATTCTTTAACCATTGTAAGAGAATATCTCCAGAAATTTGGTTGCCACAATCTGCATTTAAGATTGTTTTACTGTCTCCAATCTACGCTTCAGATAATGTGCTAAACTCTTGCAGAGGATTAAACAGTGAAAGCAGATCCTACATGTACACTGACTGAGGAAATTTAAGCCATCTCCTTCTGTCTGCATCTGCATCATGCTGTGTAGTTTTTCTGCATCAATACCTGATACAGTTGAAAGGGTTACCTGAGGTACGGAAAAAGCTATATCAATAATGTTAATATGAATAACATTACCTGATTGACGTGATCTAGCTTGGGACAGGGTCTTCCACCATTGTAGGGTTTTTCACGGAGCCATTTAGACCGAACCTTTACCCCACTCCCACATGATTTACTACAGCGAGACCAATTGGACCATTCGCTGAGCTTGCAGTCTGAGGGACATGGAATAATACAGGCTTCCTCAATATAACCTGCATGAATGGAAAAGAAAGTAAAATCTCCTCAGTATGTCACTCTGCCACTTCTCCCTGAAGCCCTCGTCTAGTTCATTTAGATTGTCCAAAGTTTGACTTGACAGGACTGTGCAAATAGAGAGATTTCTTCATCATTAGGGCTAAATTAAATTCTGCAGAAAATTGACACATATAGGTGGAGACTGTGATAGAATAACAGCTGAGCATCCTCATTCTTATCTGATTATGATTCACATTCACCAGATTTCAGCACTCAAACTTTCTGACAGCCACAGTGTAATTGACACTAAACCATCTTGTTTTATCATTCCTATACCACAAAAACAATACTCTTTTGAATTAAAAATATTTAATTAAAAGCTCCTTCCATCACTGAATACAGTAAGTCAATTGTAGTTATACATAAAAAATCCAACTGAATCAAAAGATATGCATCTTATCAGCCTGGAGTGAGGGAACTTAACACCTTGTGACCTTTCTAAGGCTAGAAAAAGAGAGTGGCCTGCCACGTTAATGATCTGCCGATTAACAACCATCTGCCCCCAGTAGCACACTGAATAATAGCCCTGAATAGAAATGCAGCTGTTTGGTTTGGATAAGTCATCAGTCCTGAGAGGTTGGAAAGGGGTAGGACATGGTCTGCAGGGAGTAACATGAAGCCTCAATTCACTGAGCAAGTGAAAATGTCTTTCTTTCAAAGCAACATATGCCATAGCTCTACGATGTGTGCCATTTATGCTAATATTTAAGGCAGAAGCTGTAAGACCTCAAAGAATAAGCTGGCCTTCACTACATTTTTACTACAACTATATCCTAAACCTATATGAACTCTCCCCTCCCCTTTCCTGTATCAGTTCTTGAACATATTTACTGTTGACAAATGCTAACTTTAAAGATTAAAAAGATCAGTGCATACAGAAATTAATTAAAATCTTTGATGAACACAGTTGCAAAATTAATATATACATGGGTAAGATCACTTTCAAATGATTGGCATAGTTTCAAATGTTTCTCACATATCCTGATTTTTTTTTTTATCTTGAAAGCAAGCACTGTCATTTTCATCACAGCTGGTGTTAGCATCTTTATGTTCTTAACCTGTACTTCTCTGTAAAGTTATTCTGTCTCTTCTGAAAGCAGCCAATATCAAACAATCACATGTAATGTAAAAAATCAAAACACTTAAAAGATTTCTTTTCTGTATACCTATTTCTAACTGCTTCCACCAATTTGTGTTAAACACAAAAACATAAGAGTTATTTTTGTTAAACATACAGTAATATTTGGAATATTTTATAGCCAAATTCAGATAATGGTTTTATTCCAGATAGCTCTCCTCTGTTTGGAAATTTTACATAGTTAAATAAATATACAGAGCACATCTTGAATTTGAGTACCGCAGAACTACTGTTCATTAAATGTATCTTCCTTAATATGGCTAGAATGATATTAGCTGGAATTACAAGCATGTTCATTAAATATTCCTCATAATTTGATTGACCACCTCAGTGATATTGTATGAAAGGTACACTGTTTCAGACAAAATATATTTTTGGAGATCGTATCCTTGTGTACCAGAGGAGGTCACATAGACTGCCCTGCAGTAGTAGATGTAAAATTGATTACATTTCATCTTACCCAACACCTCTGACTTAGTCAGAAATCAGATGTACCTGATCTCAAAGCACTTTTCTACACTGAACTTTGACTTCATAAATATCAAACTCTATCCTCACCAAAAATGAGCATTCAACAAGTCTTCTTAAATGCTATACAAAATCATCTGTACATACCATTAACAAAATACTGAATGAAAATTTACAATAACAGCAAAGTTAAAAGAAACAACTAAAAGAAAAAAAAAAAAGTTATTTACTGTCTCATGGAACTCTCAGAAGAGTTTACTGTTTATAAGTTTGCTTGAGATTCTGATAAGCCGCAGTTTCTTTCAACATAACTTCTCTTTTTTTTTTTTTTTTTTTTAAGCTGGAAAAGCCTGTCTCCTATAACACAATTATGCCATTTCACATTCATTAAATTTCTGTCTCTGTAATTAATGTCTGGAAGAACAAATTAAAGCTGCTTTAAATATATTGTACACCCTTAAGTAGGGAACTTTGACAAGTACAGGCTGATTCAGGAAAACTTTGTTTTAAGATTTGCCATAAACCTCTGAGCTATTTTAAACTTTAATTTAAATTAAAAGCTATGTTAATAGCTTTTTAAAAGCTATTTTAATCCATCTCAAAGAGATCTTCACAGTCTGTCACAGTCATATAAGATCTAAGATATCACTGTATTTTGGGACTTGGATAACTACGCCTATCAAATGGAGTGTGGGACATACATAACTAAAATTATTGACAAATTATAAACTATTTTGTTTTATTTTCTTTCAGTTGATCCAAACAACATTTTAATTAACTGTAGTTCAACTGATGCTACAAAATAGCAAATGGAACCATACCATCACAGTGAATGACAGTTTGGGCTCAAAGGGTTATAGCAAAGGGGTTACATGTGGCTGGTGACCAGTCACTAGTGGGGTTCCCCAGGTCTCCATTTTAGGGATAGTTTTCTTCAATGAATGATCTGGATGTAGGGTTTGAACACACACTAAGTAAGTTGGTGGATGTAACTACATTAGGAAGATCTGATGACTGTCTCCACTGTAGAGAGATCTTGACAGTGTAGAGCGCTGTGTAATCATCAAGTGTATGAAATTTAACAAGAACAAGTTCTTGTTTAACAAGTGTTGGTTGATGGTATAATCCTTGATTATGCCTACAAATCCATGATGAGAGACTGGAGAAAAACCCTGCAGAAAGGGGTCTGGGGCTGCTGGTTGATAGCAAGTTGAATATGAGCCAGCAGTGTGCCCTGGCAGCCAAAAGGGGCAACCGTATCCTGGGATGCGTCAGACACAGCATTGCTAGCAGGTCAAGTGAAGAGATTGCCCTTCTCTGCTCTGTGTTCCTGCGGCCTCACCTCAGTTAATATGTGTGGTTTTGGGCTCCACAACATAAGGACATAAAACTATTAGAGAGCATCCAAAGGAAGGTTATAAAGATGGCAAAAGGTCTAGAGGAGAAGACATATGAGGAGTAGCTGAGGTCCCTGTTCATTCAGCCTGGAGGAGACCAAAGGGATTCCTCAAAGGGAGTCCTAAAGCTTCCTCACAAGGGGCAGGTGCTGATAATCTCTTTGAACTGGTGACCAGGGATAGGGCCCAAGGGAATGTTATGAAGCTGCAACAGGAGAGGTTCAGGGTGAATGTTATGGAAAAGTTCTTCACTGAGAGAGTGGCTGGGCACTGGAATAGGAAGCAGCAGGCCTGCCAAATTTCAAGAAGCATTTATACAACACTCTCAAACATGTGGTTTGATTTTTGGGTAGTCCTGTGTGGATCTAGGAGTTGAAGTCGATGATCCTTGTCAATGATCCCTTCCAACTTAGGATATTCTATCATTCTATGATAGTCAAAACAACAAAGGAGACACAAGAGAAGAGAGAGGCTAAGGAGGAACGGAAGAAAGGGTAAAAAAAAAAAAAAAAAAAAAAAAAAAAAAAGAAAAAAAAAAGACAAGGGAAAGGAAGAGAAAAATAAATGGCTTAAAAACAGTCAAGAGAACAGTAAAGAGATACATTACATAGGAAGAGAAAAAGAAAGGGGGGAAAAGAAATAGACATCCTGCGAAAAGCAATACCTTGGTGATGCACAAACAGAATGCAATGCCCTCAAGAGCCTACTAAGGTAATCTCCTGACCAGAGAGAAACCATTAAAAATGTTCCCATGATAAGAAACAGAAGGACAAGGGAAATAATAAAAAGACTGTAGCATATAATTTGGTTTCTGTAGGTGATTAATGTGCAGAATGAAAATGACAAGACCCTTGTTGTATCTGACATTAAAAAAAATTTTGGCATATTAATTTCTTGGCATTTTTTCTTCCTCTCAGGCACCTCGCTATTTCAACTTCACTCAAAAGTCTATTTAGCATTTAGCTGTGCCACTGGACTCCCTTGGAAGCTAGGCAGAAGCAGACTTCAAATTGCTTGCAGATATTTCCCTAGCCAAGAAAGATATCTGGATTTTAAAAGTTACTCGTTGCAAACGACAGATCCCATTCCATTCTAATGCCACTATTGAGAAACTGCTTCAGAGAAGCATTTCATCACCTCAGACACCTTTCTGTGCATCTGATGTCAACAGATCTTAAAAATTCAGGATGATTAAGGATTATAATCTCCAGAAATTCATAGCAATCACCCTGAGAATCAAGAATCAAAGAAAGCAGATGTTCAGGAACTTTGAAAAAAATATGCTTTTTTGTTGTTGTTCTGTTTTTATTATATTTCAGTTCCTTTCATATTTGTAAAGTTTGCCTATGCTGTAAACATTTTAGCAAGTGAGAAGAGGGCATACTGAGATATAGGACAATTACACTGAAAACACAGAAACATAAAAAACAAAGATTATATGCACATGAGACTGGTGATGCAGTACATAGCTTCTGATTTGAAAAAGACATGAATGGACCTTTTTTCAATTTTCAGTCTTGTTTCCACTGATTTAATCATCCTTGAAAGAGTGCCCCTTGTGCTAGACATTGTAAATGCTTATTAAAGAAACAGTTCACTAAAGCCCGGGGATGGACCGGATGTCAGCATGGTGGAATATCACACCATTATATCACATGTACAGAGTATGTAATACAACTACAGCAAGTGGCATGCTAGCACGTTGAGGTTTAAAGAACAAGTAAGAAATTACTGAAGCAGAAATATGATAGATACAGAGAAAAGGAAATAGAACGACAGCAGCAAAGTGGATGTGAAGAAAAATGGGAAAGGAAAGTAATAAAATTAGAGAGGGACAGTGAAATAGCAAGCCAACACTGTAAGACTAAAGATAAGTTCACTGGACATCAGCGTGTCATGTTTTGCCTGCTGGTTTTCCTCCTCCTGACAGAAAACACTGCACACTGCCTGCAGC